CTTTTGACTGAAAGGATAGTAACACGGAGATCATTGTTCTGTTCATCGTAGCTAAAAATAACGAGAAATTAGCATGTTTTTCAGTTTAAAAGCAATTAATTTTTTATGAGCAGCCTGAACACATAGAATAAAAAACAAAACAAAACAAAAAAAAAAAAAAAAAAAAACAAAAAAAAAAAAAACAGAAATCCTTGTAATCTTGCTGTATATTAATGATGCATGTCCAACTCGAATGACAAGCTCCGATTCACTTTCTGCAGCATTTAAAAACTTAGACTTTTGTGGACTGACTGCATTTCATGAAAAAGAAACCGACATCAAATTAACGATAAACTCTAGACTGCGGTATGTTTTTTAATTTAAGTATTTAAAAAAATAAAATTTGACTTTTTCAGTTTCCTCTTGTACACTTGAAAGTTTAAATCTGATAACAGGAAATATTAAAAAATATATCCTATTGTTGGGCTTTGCAGACATACATAGAGCATTTTTGTATTTATTTCGAGATGCAGAAATTGAAAGGGCACTTTTATACCTCTTTAGAGAAAGAAAATCAGAGATAAATATTGCATGAACGAAATTCGTCTAAAAGTGTTTCTGTTTTTTGCATCCAGAAGAGCTGTAGTTTGAATTTCAGGCCTTCGTGTTTGATACTTACAGTACGAAGAAAAAAGCTTTGAATTGGAATCAGGAGGGATGAAGTATTTACGAAAACAGCTAGTACATCAAAGTGTGTAATATTATCGTAAATACATATATGCAGATTTCTTACCATTTGTGCAAAATTACAACTAAGACAATCACATACATGTCTCATACGAGTTGTGTAAGAGGCTTTGAAACAGGACCTTAGCATATTAAATAGCATCACAATAGTACAGCTACTGGCATTTTAATACGTAAATAATTGGGAAAAAGCAATAAACCATTCAAAACATTTTAAGTGACATTTTTTCAGAAGTTCAGAATGAAAAAGTATCGAATTGTAAAAAGCTGAAAATTTATTTCCATCTCTATTTTTATCCTTCCCCCCCCAAAAAAAAATAAAAGCAAAATAAATTTTAATTAAATTAACAAAACCCAGACGATATAGATTGGAGATGTGGGATATATATTTTTAGACGAGAGTCGCTCTTAAATTTTTGAGATACGCATAAGTTTTTAAAGTTATAATTAAAAAGTTTTAGGATTGTTCAAAGTAGTTTCCCTCACCATCATTGCACTTGTAAATGTAGGCGAATTTTCCAAAGATTAAATGCTTCAACCATTCATTTTATTCAAGAAACTCAACTATCAATCTTGCTGAATGAGAAGATGCATTGTCATGGTGAAACATGTGTCCTCTAACATTCATTTCTTGAAGAATTTCTAGTAGACACTTAGTGGTGTACCAGTTAGCTGTGACTGTCCTCCCAGCTTTGACCTGTCCTATACTTTCGAAGAAAACAATGTACATTACTTTTTTCATTGGCACGTTGTCTTTTCACCATTGTGGGCGTTGGATCATCTTCAAAAATACATACTTTACTTTCTTAACACGTTGGAACGTAAAACCACGGTATGTATATTTCATCACCAGTTTTGATTTTAGAAATAATGTTCTGGCCAACATCTTTAAGTATCTTAAAGGTTTCTTTACTAATTCTCCTCTTTTTGATGCTCAGTTAAATTATGGGGAACCCTACAGCAAACTAGGGTTTTCATATGCCATTCTTCAGGAATAATTTTATTTATGGCGGCGGATCCAATGTAAGTTCCTTCTGTATCATTTGGTAGGTGCAGCGGTTATCATCAATAAACATTTTCCGTATGACAGACCCATTATCCGGGATTACGCCCTTCTTGTGTGTTCTTCATCCTGAAGAAAGTTACGACCTCTGCGAAATTCTGTAAACCATCGGAATACAGTAGCACGAGATGGACCTTCATTTCCAATGCTATTTGTAGACGTTGAACGCATTCTTCTCGATTTAATCGCACTTTAAAATCATAGAAAACCATAGCGAAATAATGCTCTCACGTTATCGTTTTCACGTCCATTTTTACCTTCTGCCTAAATTTTATTTTACGCTAAACTACTTCCAACACACCAACAAAAAAAATCGTCTGCTACGCTAAAATAGTTCATATTTTCAAATCTAACAGTTAATTCTTTCTTCCACTTATTGTCTGCGCATATCTCAAAAATTTCAGAGTGACCTACGTAAATACCTTCTATTAGCTAAATTGACTCGGCAAATACTCATGAAAGTACAGCTGACTCTTGAATTATGCGTAGTGGATTTATACAATTTCGGTTATGCAGAGATTTGTTTTCAATAAAATATTAGAGAAAGTCTTAGAGATTTAGAGCAAATGAAAAATGCTGGCATGTAGATTACGTATTCTATAAATGTCAAACATTTAAACATTTTTTGAATATGTATGTCATGAGCGTAAAACGTTTTATAGATATCAGTCTGTTTAATCAAACAAAAAATTTTAAATTTAACAAAATGTTAGTACACAAACACTTGCAGGGCATATATTGCGCTACTGACAATAATAAAGTGATAAAATAAAAATAAGTGAATAAGTTAAACCAAAGTTTATAGTATAGTTACGTATTGCTCTGAAATAATTCAATAGTTATCTTTTGATACTAATATTATGGTAAGCTTATCTTTCTTAAGTATATAAAGAAGAACATAACAAGACGCTAAAATTAAAAGCAAATTTTTATACCCTTCTGCGCTATAGCTGCAGGATTGAAGTAAAATATACTTAAAGATTCTAAAGTTTAAAAATAAATTGGAATCAAAGCAAGGTTATTCCTCGACAATATTAATATTAGCAATCGTGTATAAGAGGTTTAACACAAAATCCAAAGATATCAAAGTTAAAGTAAGTATTCATAGTAATACAAACTCTAAAAATAAAAATGAAAATACAAAAGGGGAAAAATACAAGATAATAAAAATAAGAATTAATCTCCTTTTACTGAAACTCCAATTCCGAACTCATCAGGGAAAAATGAATTAAAACTTCACAAGAGTTGATTAAGATGTTTCGAAAACGTGTTTTGTTCTGCTGGTTCATTTGAGATTAAAAACCAAAAAATGAATCTACTTAAATTTTCATTTAAGACACTAAAATTCATATAAAACCGAAAACTCGAATCTCAGATGTACCAAGATTTTTCCTACACGCCTTCGAAATACTTGGTAAAACGAATAACAACTTTGCATTGCGTAATTGACTACTAAAAAAACCCCACTAATAACTGCATTGCATTTACAAATGCTTTTTAAACAAATGAACAGTATCCTGATGGGAACTAGCATGAGTTTAGCGATTTGTAATTTGTACTTTTTCACAAAGGAATTTCTTTTCCAACAACAGTTATCTCAAGTGCAACGTTCATATTACACTAACATTTACAGATACATGGTTGATTATTATTGCAAGAAACAACTTCAATAAAATAGAATGCGATCACATTTATCCGTCATGGTTAAAACTTGAAAAAACTAACTTTCAACGAGGAAATAATAATTACCTATATTTGCAAATAATCAATTTTAAAGATATCAAAATTTATGACAAAAAAAGAGATTTTGATTTCCCTATTATAAAACTCATCCATTAACACTCCAGTATCTCATAAAGAGTAATCTTTAATACCTTGCATACTCAACTCCTTAGAATGAAAAATATTTGCAACAAAGTCGAATATCTGCAAGAAGAAATCGCTTAACTTAGACAAAATCCTCTTCTTACAAACCGCACCCAACCACCCCCTCACGCAAAATTTAACAGGATAGGTCATTTTGAACACATGTTTAAATACTAAGTTCTACTACTGGATACTTTGAGCTTTATCGCATTCTTTTTCCAAGAGCTACAATTTTTTGCAACTGTAGAACAGCTTTCAAATCTACAAAGAACACAGTTTGGCCGTCTGAAGAATTAAGTATATTTTCGTTTAGAAGATCGTCCTAAGATTTCAGTAAATTTGCGTTTTTCTTAACTTTTGTTTCCAATTGGTTTCTAGTTTTTAGCTTGTAAAGCTCAGATTTGATTCGATTATTTAAAGAAATTTGTGAAAAGTTTTTCATTTTCTTGGCATTAAAAGTTTAGTTTAGCATAATAGGGAACAACCCAGTTTTTGAGTGTTGTTTAAATGACAATTTGGTTTAAAGTATATTTGTTTTATTTGCTTTTGAATTTCGGATTTGCATTTCGAATGGTATTTTTACATAATGTAACGTTGTTTTTTTTTTAATTCAATTTGACGCAATGTTATGTTTTTATGCGCTTTACTAAGTGTTTCGATGGCATGTAGGGGGAATCCTGGTACATTTCAGATTCGAGTTTTCGGTTTTATATAAATTTTAGTGTCTTAAATGAAAATTTAATAGATTTTTTTTCGGTTTTTTGATCTCAAATGAACCAGGAGAATGAAACTCGTTTTCGAAACACATTAATCGACTTTTGTGAAGCTTTAATTAATTTTTCCCTGATGAGTTCTGAATTGCAGTTTCAGTAAAAGAAGATTAATAATTATTTTTATATTTTTATTATCTTGTATTTTTTTCTCTTTTTACATTTTCATTTTTATTTTTAGAGTTTGTACTACTATGAATTCTTATTTTAATTTTGATATGTTTGGATTTTGTGTTAAACCTTTTATACACGATTGCTAATATTAATATTGTTGAGGAATAACCTCGCTTTGACTATAATTCACTTTTACCTTTAGAATCTTTAAGTCTCTCATCTTCTGTTGCTGTAATATTTTTTCCTTTCCAAACTTTTGTTGTTCTAATGTTGCAGATATTAAAAACAAACTACTCTGTTTATTTTTTATTTTATATTTTTGGATCGAAATTTTCATTTATTATTGCTTTAAAGAAGAATAAAGGCCGTTGGTAGTTTCTTCAAAATTTTAAGACAGAAAACGGACATGCAGGTTAATATTGCCTTCAGACGTAATTTAATAATTTATGGCACATTCTTACTTGTCCTGCAATGTGAATATTCCTGAAAATTTTGGAATGATCCTCTGACAACCCAACATGTTCCGACCGGATCTTGTCGCTTCAAATTGCTGGAGTAATACACATAACGCGGCGCACAAGCCTAGAGGAAAAACACATTAATAAATATATTAATACATATCATTTAATAAGAGGTGAATATGTAAAATATCCTTGCTATGCTGGAAATAAAATTTATCCCAAACAGCAACATATTTTTAAAAAAATTCAGGGATTTCAATAATATATTGCTTTTAAATCTTAAATATCTAATAAAAATTGTATTTGATTTTGGCTTTATGTTCGGGATTCTTCATTTACTTTCTGAAGTACTTTTTTCTCTATGCATTAAAATTACTTCATTCAAGCATTTTTATTAGAAATATGAGTCTTTTCATGAAAAATCAAACTCTGAGTTATCGTAACGAATTTCTACCCTAATAAAATGAAATCATCCCTTACCATCCAATACGTATTGTGGTGTTGCTAATTTCAAGTCTAGGTATAAGCCATACAGATAGGCCTCATCACTGCTGGGTGAATTTCCGTACGCTGATAACACTAAATTGCACATACGACTCTGCTTAATTCTTTTTTAAATTTTGATCAAGAAATTTCAAGGAATTGTCATTCCAAAATTGTCTCATTCCTCTTTTTGGTGCCACCATCATCTCCAAAGGATTCCAATGAGTGAACAGAATACTCTTGTCGCTACGTATTTTTTGGATTCAAAAGAAATAACATTCTAATATTTCCAGGAGTTAAGCCACTTTTAATGTCTGTAAATTTGCAAGAAACTCCATACGGTCCATCAATGCAATATAATATATTGGTAAGGAGCAGTATTTCGTTTTTTTAAATACCATCGTATAGTTAAATATTAAGAACCATCATGGAATTTCAGGAATGTATTTCGATTACCATTTGTAAAAACGAGGGTTTGTTTTCATAGAGAAGCCACAGCAGATAAAATTACCTAGAAATATGCGTTATCGCTTCAATCTTGCTTTTCTGCGCGACATCAACCGAGATTGCACTTTTATTATCGTTCAATCTTGAAATTTCTACGAAATGTTTTTTACGTTCTTCAACTAAATGTGCATTTTTTTATATCTTCAAATTTTTTTGCAATAACTTTAACAATATCATGTAATTCTTTTAGTGGGAACGATGCCATGTAGGCTGAATATCCGGAAATGCTTTTGAGAGTGGTTGCGTTACTGACTAACCACACGACTCCATCTAGCTGCATTGAAAATAAATGGTTGTAAATACATACACACATATCTATATATGTAAGATAAAACATATCTTAATCAAATTTATAAGGTAAAAAATATACAGATCAAAATTATAATTTAAACTAGCAATACCCTTTTAATTCTCTCTCTCTATTCTAAAAATAGTAATGCCTTTTCCTAGACTGCATCATATCAGTTTATCTCATTTGACTTGCGTAACGCTGATGAAGTAGATATTTTAACTCAAAATTTCGAGAACTGAAACTTTCTGTTAATAAGCAACTTAAATCGAAACCTTCTCTTGGTGAGCTTCCAAGTTGGATAACTGCGCACTTTAGCTTCTACCTCTCTTCCTGTTAAGACGCTAGTTCGCTCACTTAGCCTCTGTCCAGTATTCTATAAATATAATCTGTATAAAATTGTGTGATGCATAGCGCACCCATACTGTTGCGATAGAAAGAGAGTACTACGATCAAAAGTGATTACAAGAACAGAGGCAGTGCCTAAAGTGCACAATTATCCAACAGGGAAGCTAAGCAAGAGCAAGGTTTTGTTTTAGATTAGAAAAGTTTTTCTTCTCAAAGTTTTGAGTTTGGGTTCCTATTTAACTACGTCATCAGCATTACGCAAGCCCTGTGGCATAGATTAATATAGAAATGGCTCAGTCTAGAGTTGTTGTTGTTATTTTTAGAATAGAGAGACGAAATACCCAAATTAAAAATAAGGAATTATAAGACTATAACTGAATTAAATTATAAAGCTGATTTACATATTTTTACCTTTCGTATATATACATAATGAAATAATTTTAGGTGTTCTTGAAATATTGAAGTGAATAAATTTTATTCTTTCGAGATCAAAATAATTGCATGAATAAAACTTATCACGGTTCAAACTAATAATGTAGGTAGCCGTTTGTATTCAAACAGATAAAAAGATAAAACGTGATCGTGAGAAAACTACAATTCCTACATGAAACGTAAGGTAGTGATACTTTTCATCAATAAGAAATGGAGAAGGGTTTTTGATCAGCTCTTGGCGAGGTCATATTTCTGGCCATTTTGCTCAGAGTTTCAAAGGAAACAAACTGGATAGGGGATGACGTTTTTCATCAAATGGCATGATTACTGCTATTGAATCTGCCTAGCATAAATATAATCAATTTTCTCTCAAAAAAGTCTCCTCAAGGATATCGTCCATTTTGCAGACAGCCCTCGTGTGCTTCTTGCATCCACACAAAATCTTATTAAATGTCACTAAATGACACATCAAATTACCTAAATAATTTCTTAAGGGACTATGTGGCACGAGAATTCGATTATGGTCCAGAATGAAATAGCGAAGAACAGCAGATGAATAGGCAAGCTATTCGAAACCCAAAATATTCGTCAGTCAAAATTAAAAACCGAAACAATGTGGTCATTCTCTTCGATGGCAGCAGATGAACTGTTCTTAAAAATTAGTGTTCAATGGACAAAGAGTTACAGCTGGATTTGCGAGAATTTTCTGACACGTTTATGACATAGAATTTATCATGTGGCACCAAAATATCAAAACCACTGCAGCTGGTTTCTTTTCAAGATAATGTCTGCTGACACAAGGTTATCGTTATTCGACGGTTAGGACAAAACACCATTTAAATTATGCTTTATCCTGCCCTAAACAAAGTACTAATTAAAAGAGATATTTTGATGATGTACTTATTTTTAAGAAAACCGAGAAGAGATTTTTAAGTAGTATCTTTTAACTACTTTCCAGAAGTAATTTTAAATAAATCGCGATGGCGCTCAGCAGTATTGTAGACATCAGGGGAAATAATTTTGAATAAATCATGGATGGTAATTTACTACAATAATTTATTACTATTATTTAAAATATATTCAGATCATAGTTTGGGCTTAGCAAACTATAATCAGAACTTATAAACAGCTACTATCATACTTGTAGCTTGGTATTAGAGTCAACAAATTTAGTTATACGTAACTTTTAAACCGAAACTCAAGGAAAACACCTAACAATCTTAGTTATTACTCTTAGTTTTAACTTAAATTGACATTAAGCCACTACTCCTTAAAAAAATTTAGTTTTCTCTGAATAACTCGGTAAAGGCCACACTTAAAAATCATTTGAAGCCAATAGTCAGTATCCGAATACTGTAATTGATGATCTCATTCTAATCAAAGCAATCTTACTCTCCGTCTACATAAGTATTCTATCTTTACATTTACAAATGTCCGAAAAAAATGAAATGAATATTTAAATATTAACCCAAGCTATTTTGATTAAATACTAAAACTATAAATATTTACAAAAGGGATAAATTTTCAGTCACTCAAACTGAAACTTAAGATTAAAGGTATCAGTTCCTTCCTGAAAGTTAAATAAATCGATCTTTTTAACATATGGAATGGTTAAATAATGAAAGAGAATAAAATATAATATAGTGAAACTGTAGAAATACAAGATGATTCCACCTAGTGTGAATTCGAGGAAGTAATAACACTATTAGAGAAGTTTCAAGAGTTTCAGAAAACAGGAAAAGGAGCTAGATAAAAGTAAAATTGCAGAAGTAGATTTTAATACGAATAAGTCGCATGTAAGCTGGACGAATATAAACATTAATTTTTTTTTCTACATTTACTCGACTATATTATCAGATCCCCAAATGGAAAGCAAAGCCACATTAACAGTTACAACTTGTTTAAAAATTCTTGAAGTAAAGAAATGGCAACGACTTGTTTTCCTGTCTAATCACCTAAATGTTCGATAGTCTAGAGATGTAATGATATATTTGATAGTCAGTCAGTATTTTGGTCTTCGATAAATTAAATGATATTAGCATTATTTTCCATCAAAAGGAAAAAAATACAACAACATCCAGACAAAGAGTGGACAATCAACTAAAGTAATTCACTTTTAATAATGACTTTAAATCATGATAAACCAATAAATTCATCTTTAAATCATGACTACAACTCATCTGTAATTTCTTTTTTCTAATGTTTTGTTTCCAGATTGCATTACTTTGGCAATCAAATTGTGAAGTAAATTTAAAATTATTTCTGAAAAGCAATGATACTGGCGTAATTGTTTTCAAACAGCATACTGTCTAGCATGTAATTTAAATAGAATTTTAAAATAATAAAATTTAAACATATGAAGAAGAAGAGAAAATGTACCTTCTTCTCTGCCAAATTTATCAGAATGTTTTTGTTAAACGTGTATATAGATTCCTTTTTAGAGTTCTACCATAATTTTGCTAAAAATGCATTAAACTTTAGGCTTATTTGTACGTTACATTATGTTATAACATAACCAGTAATTTAATTAATTTCGTATGGATATTACTTATGATAATTTTCCGCTTAGCCTTTCAGATGATAAGCAAAATGACAACTGCAGATAATTGTCAAGAGTAATGTTGGGTAAGAATTTCATTTATATAACGTTTCACCAAAGAAAGAGATTTAGTGCAAAATAATGCTTTACCAAAGAAAGTTTCTAAACTTGTGCTGCGTTATGAAATTGTAAGTTCTGTCTCTTTTGTTCCACATAAACTAAACGAGATCCTACAATGAACCTGGCGAATTCTCGCACAGGCGTGAATGAAATACCAGCATAGAAGAAGGGTGAAAATAACCCTTTATTAATTCCAACTAATAACAGAAAGGCACGATCTTTGTGCTTTGCAATAACACCGTCAACTCGCGGTGAAACTTAAACGTAGAATATAAATGATTTCAAAGTCGATTTAGAATAGTGCTGGATTAGCACGCTAAAGTATGGCTAACTTAGAATGACTGAACAAAACTTAACAGGCGTGACAATTTTCCAAAATGGCCAAGGGGCGTACTAGCGTAACAGCGAGATAAGAAAGAAATGTGCGCTGGCTAGCGAAAACAAACTCTGAATAAACTCAGAGATTCGCTCGTTTAAATACTCACTTCACTTAACTTTAAATTTACACCCTGGCGAGAAAATGCGAGGGGAAGGAGTTCAGGAAAGGTATCAAACTTAAATGAATTTGTTATGCAAAACAGGGAAACCCTAGAAGTTTTATAAACATAAAACAAAATGTAAATTTCTCTATTTCAAGAGTTCTTAAACACATACATTTCCGAATGTTATTATGTAAGGAAATCATCGCAAAATTAATTACCTCTGAATAATTTTCTCCTATGCAATCTAATAGACAAATCAAGGATATTACCAATCTAAAAGTAATCTACATGTACTAGTAATTATACTTCCTTTTTGCATACGCCAACATTTCTTAAACCATACTTGGAATATCCATGAATTTTTATTTCTTTTCAAAGCACTGTATTTTTTTCATTTTCTCCTGAATTTGTATGAAGTAGCATTCAGATCTTCACATTTTGGTAAACAAAGCAATTGCCTAGCTATGAAATTATTATTATAATGCAATTTGTCTGAAATGCGGAATTCTCTGCGGGTGTAGTTCTCACCCGCGTTTTCCTCCATTCATAAACATCCTACTTCTCTCCGCCTGTTTATTTAGGTGTTGTCTTCGCGAGTCTAAAGATTAACTTGGATTCTTCTATGACGTTACCATTTAATCTGTAAAAATAATATTATACATTAAACAAAGAGTCCTTTATTGTTTAAATTTCCCTCTCAGGATGTTATTTTTGGAACAATGATGCATATTTCACAAATTTTAGGGATAAAATTTTGCGAATTATTTTCCGAAAAGTCAGAACAATTTTATATCGAGGAATTTCCTTTTGGTTTGAAACCTTTAAGTAAAATATAATAAAATATAATTCATCTTTTCTGTTCTATAACGTATTTTTTCCTTCCAAATATTGTTTACACTTCAAGAAATGCAGAAAATATTTTCTTATTCAATTTGCAATCAAAAGTAATGCACTTAAATAACGATTTATTACACATTACTTCACGATTTTATTACACTAGTTGGACTAAACGCCGCACGTCAGCTGCACAAAATAGTTTATAATTGATTCCAGATCAACAGAATGAATCAAAGAAATGATCAAAGGAACTTTTTAATGTATTTGGTTCTCGGTCATGGAGCTGTAATCTTAGATTAAAAACTGAAATAACAGCTGCAACAATACTGTCAGCTGAAAGCAAAAATCTTTGAAACGCGTTCTGTGTAATAAGAACTGTACAATATTGCTTTTCTACAAAAGAGAGACGGAATTATGATATTAGTCATTTGGTAGCATAGAAAACATTCAACATGATTCCTTAAATTTTGTTTTTATGCAGGAAAGCCAATCAATCACAGACAACATTTCTATATATTTTAATAAATTCATATAAATGCATCTGATTTTGAATCTATGTTGTTCTGTCAATAATAAAAGAAAAATCTCCGACCGTTGAACATTAAGCGATTAATCATAAATACACTCATGTCTATAAGGATAATGCAAAATCACGCAAAGGAAGAGTTAGAAGCAAAATAAATTTGACTTATTTGTAAAGCTTACTTATTAAACAAAAGGTAAAGAGCAAAGAATGATGCTATATGTTTGATACTATTACAAAAATTAGCGATTTTTCCTCCCTGGAGCAAATTACAAAAAAACCCTATTTACAAAAAACCAATATTACATGGTTGGAATGATTGTTAATACATTGTATGTCTCCCAGACGATGCAATACAGTCCGTACAACGCCTAGGCATGCTGAGTATCAAATTATCTATCTGATCTTGGGGGATATTACACCACTCAAAAAGCAATGCTCTCCGAAGTTTCGGTAGATATGTAGGAGGAGGTTGACGGGCTGCAACTCGTTGGCCAAGCATGTCCCACACGTGCTCTACTGGATTCAAGTCCGGTGAGAATGCTGGCCAGTCCATACGCGTGATATCCTCCGATTGAAGGCATTCGCTTACAATGTTTGCATGGTGAGGACGGGCGTTGTCATTAAACACAAGTTGTGCGCCCATGGGCCCTCCCGAAACAAACATGTTGTTCCAGAATGACATCCCGATAGATTTGGCTTGTCATGGTTCCAATTTGAACATGCAGGTCAGTTCTGGAACCCAGAATAATTCCACCCCAAACGAGCACCACCGTAACGGTGTCGTTCAATGATGTTTTCTTGGTGGTAACGGGTACCTAGAGCTCTCCATATGAAAGTCCGGCGAGAATCAGACTGCAAGCTAATAACCAAGGTTAATGTATTTTGAGAATTCTACATTTTGAAGGAAAGCGAAATATCTGAATATTTGAAGATTAAGATAGCGCTAAATTAATGTAATTAAAAAAATATTGCTTGAAAGACTCATGAAATCGAAAGTGATACTATATCACAGCTCATTCGCCATTTTAGTGAATAATTGCTTAAAAATGTGCTTTTCTTTGGGAAGGAATCTTATAACAAAAAGAGAGAAATGGATATTTTACGAACATTAGGCAATCATAGTTATTATATGGTGTTCAAATACAATATATGTCCTCCATTATAATCCGAAATAAGCATTATTCATTTCACATTAAGAAGCCTTTTTTCTTGGCTTTCATTTTTCCTGCACAATTAATTTAACGTTACTTAAAACATGCCAATTTTATTTTTGAATTTCTGCTTTTAAAGTAAATACTCATAAGGGCTTTCTTACTAATAAAAATTAAAAGGTCAAGAAGCAAAACAGATTTAATATGTCGTCAATGAAGTTAGCCTCTTACGCATTCAATACAATTTTAAGCTGTGATGTTCTTTTTTTTTTCCTTTTAAAATTATTGGTAAAGAAAATGACTTCTTTTGTGATGTTACAGAAAAGTTGAAATGACATGATTTTTGATTCGCTGCAAGCAAGAAAGAAGAAAAGATTTTGGTATGACATACTTTTTCTGCCACCTCTAAAAAAACTTGAAGTGGGAAAGTCTGAAATCACGTCTAATAATAATTTTTTTGATGTGATTAAATGTAATCTGAAGTTTTCAGATTTAGTATTATTATTTTAATTTTATTAGCAAAATTTTTTTTTTTTGCTTAAAATCTTGATATTTCTCACTCATCAACAGGAAATCTCGTCTTCTAGCTTAAATTAATGTTCGCTTGTAGGTCTTAACAGGAAGAAACTTCTTGTAAGTTTTTCTCTTACATGAAAATTTGTTTTTCCATTTCTGTTAATCCATTTTCTTTTGTTTATGTATCTACTTATTTAACATGAAAACTCTCTTTCTAAGCGGGGAAGTAGGAGTAGGGAATTATAAGCAGGAAATGCTAGAAAATTTAACTGTATCGATACCATATAAATGTATTTTAGATTTAACAAGTCGGTGGAGTTGCATGACTGAGATATTTTATTTCTTTGTTCAACTTCTTTTAACTGCAGAGATCTTTTAATGATACCTTTAGCCATCGATAGCAGTAATTAAACTTACATAACTGCTATATTTTGAGACATTTGTTTTTCTTTTTGTTACATTTGATGACACAGTGCCTTAGTTATTGTTTTCTTGGAAGGAACAAAAAAAAAAAAAAAAAAAAAAAAAAAAAAATCAAAATCATACATCCGCTTTTGTCATACAGACGTCACAGTTCCATTCTTATCATGTTTATTAGGAAAACATCGAAGGTCATACATCCGCTTTTGTTAAATATTGCATTATCTGTTAATTTGCTTGCAGAATGTCATAGTCCGGCAATTTTGAAAAATGATCTGCGTTGAAAACCTCTGAAAATTTGTATTTTTAGGTGAGAGAGAGTTTAAACGTTTTAGGGATACTAGTTGTTGTTGCTAATTTCTATGGATTTCGCGGGATTTTATCACGATTTTATCGAGCTTTAATGTTCATCAAGATCTCCACAGTAATGAGAAAATTCATTTTTAAGGAAACATTTTTCAGAGGAAAGATATGCGTGATATTTCCATTATATTAATTTTGAAGATATATTTTAGATGCCACTTGTCTTCCCTCTTTTACAGTAGGAATTAAACAGAATTATCATCTCCCCATTTTTTTAAATAAAAGCTACAATCTTGTATATTTTCTTTTCAGCAAATGATTATTTAAAGAATAACAAGTCTGTTTATGCAAATGATTATTTAAAGAATAACAAGTCTGTTTATGCAAATGATTATTTAAAGAATAACAAGTTTACAGGCATAATTTTATTTATGGTAGGCTAGTTTTCATAAACAAGTTCCCCACCCCCTTCACCAGAATAAAGTCTTTATTGGAACAGAAGGATTTCGCATTAGAAAATTAGGTATAATGCTCAAATTGTTTGAATAATAAATCCTGATAACATTTTTAACTGATGAAAATTTCCTGATTTTTCATTACACGCAGATACAAATTGTCTTACCACTATTGCACCATTTTCGCCTGAACTATGGACTGTTGCTCCAAACCACTGATATGATTTCTTATCCATATCTTCTTTGTTACCTCGTAAAATAATTTTTCCAGGGCCTGTAAATGAAGATACATAAATTTTTTAGTTTTTTTAACAATAAATATGAATGTAGAGGTCAAATTATTTTAATAAGTATTTTTCCATGACCTAAGAAAACGCTGTAATATATCTATCCAATTCTACCATTTTAAATTACAAAATTATTATGATTTCGTTTCGTTCGTCATTCACTTCGATGTTGAGAAGGGTAATATTACAACTTTTGCACACAGTTTTATATTCAGTGTGAATGTTTCTAATAAACGGAAAAGATTTTCTTCGTAACAAATATGTCAGTATCTAAAAGCTTGACTTTGATTCTAAGCAGGGATAAATCCTTATCAAAGGGTTTTATACAATAATTATTCTTACATCGTTTTAGTATATTGCGAACATAAACCTAAAATATTGCATTTCTTTTTAATTGGCAAACTATTGTTTATAAATGCATAGTTCAATACATAAAATGAAATACATTAGACGTTAACAATATTTTTCGAAGGTACAATTTTCAAACAAAATTACTAACAGATGATTATTTTATATTTCCTTTAGCAAACAAAACTCCTATTAACATAATATAGGTATTAAGCTAAATTTGGAATCATAAAGAGAAAGAATAAAATTTAGTGTTTTTTAATATGCATTTATTCTTGGATCAGCGTTATTTCGATAAATTTGGAAATAAAAATTTCATTTATTTTTTAAATTTTGATATATATTATGGCACACGAAAATTAGCCTGCTTATAATAACAATTATAATGGTTTTGTGACATGACGAAGAAAAGCATTTTTGTTTTGTTTTTCTTTTTCCAACTCACCTGAAGTATCGAATGGAATCATCTGGCACATATTGGGACTGTCGATGCTGCATCGAAATACAGCCCCGCCTTCTTCGACCTCTGGCTGTTTAGTCTGAGCTTTTGGAGCTCCAACCAGTAGCCTATTAAAAATTATAAATAAAAATTATGTATTTGGATACAATAATCTGTGGTTCATTAGTGCAATTTTTACTTAATGAGTGACAAAATTTAAAAATTTATGTTTACATCTGCAAAAACTGCATTCGACATGTTATAATGTTTAGCAAACAAGTCAAGATTGAGTTTCTAGTGAAAAATTAAATATGTATACGTAAACAGCTACACGGATATATGTATCATCAACTTTGTAAAATTATTGTTGAAACTATCCAGTTATTTCTAATTTCAGCTTCCAGAATGTAAATGAATGTAACTAATATTTAAACTGAGGTTTTGGGAGCTTTAAGATACAGCGTGTTTCTAGCCTGCGTATGCACACTACGTTTAGTTTCAGCCAGCTCTGATAATATATTTGTCTAACTATATCTTACAAAACATTTAAAATGCATTTTTTTTTCACTAGAAGGTGCTATGATTTAAATACTACTATGCTCATAATTTTGTTTCACATCCGTTTGGTTCCATATAAATGTAAGTAACATATAGTATTTATTGACAATGATAAAACATCGAGGACGTTTCTAAGAGCATTGTTGTCTGTATAGTTTGACATTTCTCAAATTTACAAGTGATTAATGAGAGACGACCTCCACAGTATTATTTTCTGAAGTATCAAAAATATTCACAAAAAGACAAACGTCTTTTTCTAATATGTATGAAAGATAAAATATATATAAATCAGAATTTAATTTATAATAGTCCCTTAACTCTCCATTTTTAGTTATTTCTGCTTTCTATCCTAGAAGTATTAAATGCTTCTATTAAATACCAAACTGCGGCGTATGAAAATTAATCCATGTCATATATGCATAACGCTAATAACGCAAGCAGCTAAATAAAGGTCCTTACTGCGCCTTTTGATTTGAAAACTGTTTGTGAAGGAAAATAAAGAAATATTGAAATTTCCCATAACTCTAGCTCCATGCTAAAAAGAACCAGACATTCCAATATACTCGTATTACCAAAATTAAACCCCACATGTTTAACTAGTTCCCTAAAAATGTAAAAATTCTAGTGCAGCGAGTATCCGAAGTATTAATTTTATTGTATTTATGCAATCTAATATTCTAATCAGTATACACAAAAGTTTGTGTTATGTAACGTTGCCTTATTTTATGTTATTATACTCTTATGTTTAACTGTAACAACGATGTGTAACTCCAGTCTTCCTTAAGAGAAAAAGCATGCACTCATTTCCAGTTTTTCAGACTCTAGCTGGTTAATGTACTGGTGTAATACCTATTCCACTCTGTATTCGATATTCCCTGGTGCCCTATACGCTTTTGCTTTCTTACTTGTTAAGACCTTCGATATCATTCAAGGTATATATATATATATATAATAATATAAACAAAAGGAAGGAAGGACTACTAAGAACCCTGCGCCTAGGTTTTGACTATAGCTTCTCGATGTATTATAGTGCTTAAAAGTAAGCACCAATACTTAATTGTTACATTATTTCAACTGGTAGCTAGTTAAATTTAACTGAAAATTACCCTCTATATCTAATTCTTTCTAGGAGTACCAGTTTATTTGGAGAACGTAAATTGTATGTTTTGTAAACAGATTTGATTAAAGTATAGTGAACTGAATAATATTTTTATGCATGTGTACACTAAGATCATTTGAAATTTGAAGAAGAAGATTAATGTGTTTTTGCGTTAAATAGGGGCGAGGAAGATTTCATCATGCTCTTACGCATTCAAAATAAAAAAGATAAAACAACACTTTTTTGATACCGATAATGCAAAATTCCCTCATTTTTTTCTCAGCATACAGGAGGCGATACATATATAGCAAGGCATTACTAAATTTGAGACTAGCTCTTTGTGTTATCTCAAAGAAATGATATCAAGTTTTCAGACGACTTAAGAATTTAAAAAAAAAACTGATTTAATCGCCACTCTACTACGCTGTTAAGAAGATAAAGTTGCTTTCGTAACGCAATATATCATTTCTATAGCTGCGGGTGCACTTTTTTAAAAGATGAATATTTGTTAGAGCCGTGGAATTCTTACTTTACCCTTTCTTATACTTCTTTTTTATAGCTGAAAGTAATGGAAGTCAACTATATTTATTACTGCAGAATCTAACTAAGTAGTAAGATAGACCGGAAGAGTTTCACATTTAGTGCCGTGCGTTTGAAACTCATAAAACAAAATGTCGTTTCTCGTGAAACTGATAGCATATTTTGACGTGTATGTTGTTGTTGGAAGAAATGATTAAATGGCTTTTTTTTAATTTTGTTCTTAGAATGCTAGTGCATAATAAGTTATTGATGAAACATTAGTTTTTTAACAGCAATTTGTAGCTGAAGTTTAATTTAAGTACAATTCGTGCTCCAAAAATCAGGAATTATAATTATCCGAATTTCTTGTCCTGTCTGCCTCAAGTGAAATTAAGCTTGTCGTTAAATTATGTACGCGCTTCGTTTGATTTTTTCTGCTGCTTGAAGATTAAGAAGAGATAATACGTTATGTTTGCGTATGTAAAATATGCATAGAAAAAAATCGATATTTTTCAACATATATTCATTAAATTTGGCATGTATTCTATTTTCAAAATGTTCGCTTGTTATGTGTGTGAAACTATCAATAACTGACAACGCAGAATTTACGTATAAGCTACACAAGTTATAGCTTAGACCCCCACTTTCTTGGGGACCCTCAAAAAATTTAAATGTAGTATAAATAGAGGATTAAAATATATTATAACAGACTTATAAAGGGCTCCATATCTCAAATAGCTTACGTTCTTATCGAATCTGAATCCAGCTCTGATAACTGTGCTTGACTATTAGAAGGCTTTAGGTTATTCTGTACAGAAAAAATGTGTTAAGTGATAATGCGTGGGATAGCGTACTTTGTTCTGCCGGGGTTAAATAAACTTTCAATTATTCAGTTCGACGTCGCGTTTAGGGAAAGAAGCCTGGGGTTTGCTCGACATAACTAGATCCCTCTCATTTAGGCCTTCATGGTCGTATTTCTCGTCTTTTGATCATGCTGATCTCTCCTATCAACACAGCTCTACTGGATCGTTTTCGGATAAATTCAAGCTAACCAAAAACCATATGACAACCAGCAATCTCTGTTTGAGCATTTACAACACCCAATGCAGTTGGTGTTATGTACAGATTTAATTACTAATTAATAATTTAAAGGAAAATATAACTTTACTTAGTTCTGGCATCTGAAAACAAAATAGTATAGAGCATTATTAGCATTAGTAATTCAAAAGTAGGCGCCCTTCACCTATGTCGCCTATGCTTAAAACCAGCTCTGACGGCCAGTCTATGACGGATACCAAAACAAGCATTATCACAATGGTTTCAGAATTTTAGGAGCATTGAAAAAAGTATCTGCTTTGTAAAAATGTTATTTCAAATGTGATTGGATAATACTTTTTAAAATTGTCCAATAAATTTTCCGTGACGTTTTTAACATAAAAGTACCTTAAAAATGCTACGAGGATCACCACCTCTCAGTCGCTTAGTTATTAAATATTAGTTAAGTCTCAAGAAATGTTCAAAACCCCACAAGCGGTACCTTTAGAATCGTTTATAAACTGCTCTGGTAATGTGCCACGGCTAGAAAGTATTTTTAAGAAGTTATTTCAAAATTTAATCGTTCGAAATATCAGACAGCAAAAATAATTAACAGTAATTATAAAAGCATTTTGTCTCGTTACTAGCACTTGCTGGCGCTAATCATTAAGTCCCAGCTGAAGCCTTATAAAATATAGAAAAATCAACATACGATTAGTTGTTTGTTATTCAATCTGAAAACTCTATTTAACGTAACGTAGACATAGGTAAACGTGTAATGTTCATGAATTGTTGATAATAACAAAAAGCTCACATTTTTAACGAGACGAGGCTAAATTGAAATAGTTTTCTATAATAAAATATTTATGTAATAAAATATAAAATGAGCAATTTAAATTATTTTTTAATTCAATCATTGCAAGAATATCAAATAAATCTAGCAGCATTTACATTTTAGAAAGAATACTTGAAGATTTTAGAATTTAAGTAACTGTATAAATGACAGCTTTCATTACTGTAAAACAGGGTTTCTTAACCTTTTTTCAGTCGCGACCCTTTTTCATCCCTGAGATTTTTTCGCGACCCCAGGACCGCATAATATTTATGAAAATTTTGTGGGACCCCATAAGCATTGCGCAAATTCGACACGCGTGTGTGAAACTGTCAATTTTTCCACTTGTACTGTAATATACTATTGCAGCTTTAGGTCAGTAACTTTAATTTCTAATTTTAAGACATTAAACAATGTGAAAATTTTAAATAAGTAACAGACGAAATGACAGCGTCACGTGCAAAGCAAGTAAAATGAACGCTTCTATTATAAAAAGAATGCGTCGAAGGTTTTTCCTTTTTCTTTGTCTGTATTGTCTTATCTTTATTTATTTTCAGATACATTGTGTAAAAATATTTGTTAATTGTAAAATTATTATAATAAGTTAAAGAAATATCAAAACTGCTAAATGTTTTGGCGACCTCCTGCGTCAGGTCCCGCGCTCCCTCCTGGGAGTCGCTACCCACAGTTTAAGAAACGCTGCTGTAAAGCATTAAAGGTATATTTTGATTTTTCTTGCACTTTTCACTAAAGCTTTCATTCTCGAGTGGATTACATGGTTAATTATATTATATTTTCAAAATGCAGTATTATTTATTTCACTTTAAAGTGTACTTCATGTAGTTTGAGTATAATAATATGCAGGTAGTGAATATTAATGCCAAACACCATACAGCCACTAGTTGAGCGGAGTTAAATTATGTGTATTTTTAGTTTTTTTCAAATAAAGAATAATATACTAGCTATTTTATAACAAAAACGCAAATAAGATTACTTAAATAAATGTAATTATAATAGTCATACAAGATTATGCGTTTAGCTTTAGGTTTAATCAAATAAAAATTTAATTTTTTGGTTTTATTTCA